AATTTGATTAAAAAATTTCGTCGAATTAAATCACGTGTTGTCGAGATATCTTCGTTCAAAGTTTAAAATATTTTAATTTACAGGGGTATTAATAGTAAAATTGGGGCTTCTAATTGGTTGAGTTTGCATGGAACTTTGGATCATCATCGAACATCCTTTTGGGTATTTAGATGTACCCTTATTTTGGCCAGTTAAACAAAATCTGGTAGAGCCCTAGTTATCTTAACAATGCTTACAATTCATCCGAGATCTTAGTTTTTAATACTGAATTTTCTCTTTAAGTAGGTTCTCATCAAAATGAAGGTTTATTTTACATCATTCATGTGCAGAAGTGTTCGATTACAAAAAAAACACCTAAATTCTATATATAAACCATTTTCTTCAGTAACTACTGATTTAGAAAAAACATCTAAATTATCGGATGATCATGACACATTGAAACCAAGTGTCAGAGTAGTTGACCGAAGTCTACAATACAAATTTCGAGATAAGGTTTTGTATTTTGAAATTTGTAATCTAAACTCGGACCTGGATAAGCATTTTTATTCATAACCAGCTTTTCTGAGATATCGATATAATCTATCGATTTAGTACACAACAAAAAAAGGCTTTGAGACAGCAAAAGGTGACTTTTGGATATTGAATATATTTTGTGATCTAATTATTTTATACTATATTTAATTTCACTCAATTAGAAGAATTAATTAGTATAAAAATCATTTAAATAAAAATTTAAAATGTCACATTTTTTTGCTGTAGAGCCCCAATAAGTAAATATCAATGTTAAATTTTGATATTTACTTTAAATAATTTAACTGCATAAAAAATTTTACCAAATTATTATATACTAGGATGTATTAAAATTTCACCACAAAAATTTAATTTTGGCAGCACATCTCTAAATCCCTTTACCGTGTACTGACCCATTTAAATTACTCAATTAAAAATTTTTTAAATCCATCAATTTTTTCTGTAAGAGCTTATCCGGATCTGAGTATTAATGTCACTAATGTATTTTTATTCCTCTAAAAAAAAAAAAAAAACTTTCTTTCATTAAGACACGACAATTTGTAGATTATATGCGTATCTCAATTAGAGGAGGCAATGGTGGTGATGGTTGTGTAGCGTTTTTGCGCGAAAAATTTAAGTCACGAGGTCCACCTTCAGGTGGTAATGGAGGTAGAGGTGGTCACATAATATTTATCACATCTGCAAATCATTCTTCATTACATTCAGTTAAAAGGCAGCTCGTTGGTGGTAGAGGTGAAAATGGAAAAGGACAAATGAAAAATGGATCAGCCGGTAAAGATATCATAGTTCCGATACCTTTAGGAACAGTTATTAAAGAAATCGAACCACCATCATTAAAAAGAAAATCTGATGAGAACGAAATTAATGAGGAGGCATTGATAGAGGAACGGCGCAAAGCCACATGGGCCCACTACCCAAATTACGATGAAAAAAATCAGCATAGTACTTTTTTTTTGGAAGCCGAAAGAATGATTAAGGAAGAGTATAGATTACGCCAATTAAAAAAAGAAAAAGAAGCTAAAACTAAACTCACATTAGATTTATCAGTGCCAAATGTACAATATATTGTTGCATATGGAGGTGAGGGCGGAAAGGGAAACCCCTATTTCCAATCAAATGCAAATCGCTCACCAAAATTTGCAACTCGAGGTTTCGAGGGACAATATAGATTTCTTGAACTTGAAATTAAAACAATAGCAGATGCAGGTCTTGTGGGTCTTCCAAATGCAGGAAAATCTACGTTTCTAACAGCCGTTTCTAATGCACATCCTAAGATTGCCCCATACCCTTTTACAACTCTTAATCCATTTATTGGTACAGTAGATTATGCAGATAGATATCAATTAACAATTGCAGACATACCTGGTATAATTCATGGAGCTCACAGAAACATTGGACTTGGACATTCATTTCTTCGACACGTTGAAAGATCTAGAATTTTAGTATATGTTATCGATTTATCAGGAATTGCTCCATGGGAAGATTGGGAGGTGTTACGAAATGAACTTGAATTATATCAAAAAGTTATTACCTTACAAATACATACCTGCAACTCTAAATGCAATAGTCCGGCTCCATCTAATTCTAGATGTAAAGAAAGATTCAATTGACAAAAAAGCCATCGCTGGTAGTAGCTAATAAAGCTGATATTACCGAGAGATCTAAGCGAAATTTACCAATTATATTAAGCAAAGCAAAGGAATTTGAAATAAAAAGCGGACAAGAATTTGAGATTATTCCGATATCAGCAAAATATAAAAAAAATATTGTTAAGGTGACAAGTTTGTTAAGGCAAATGGTTGAAAAAATTAATGCAAAAGAAATAAAGAATACCGAATAATAATGAATAATATTAAATTATAATTTGCACAATCGCACATTCTTTATTATTTAGTAACGGTTTGTTATGCATTTTTTGCTATTACATACAACCAACTAAATTATGTGCAGACAAAGTATCGTATTTTGAAAAAAAAAAAAACAATATCTTAAATTAACTAAAGAAAAAAAAAAAGACGTGGCTTTTAAGTTTGGTGATTTAAAAAAAAAAAGAAAAAGAAACCAACACTAGTTTCGTTAGATGCTATGACTATAACTACAACCCTTCAAGAACTTTATTATACAAGATGTTTAATACAAACTTTAACAAGCACGCTAACGTAAATCCGTTGTACTCAATTGGGTGAATAAAATAATTGGCTAGATAAATGGATTGTTCTTTTGATAATATATAAAAGCAAAATTTCACTTTGAATGAAAAGGTTCGCCAACTAAGAATCAAAATTGAAACAAAATTAGCATATAAATAACGCAGAAAATGGTCAATAATGTATTGAACAAATACTCACTATTTTTGCCACGTAATTTAATACCGAGAACTCGTTCTAGTTTCGCAAGAACCTGTTGGTTTGGAATAGTGCGGCTCATTTCATAGTCATTAATCTTTGTTAAATAAGATGGAACAAACATTTTCATTCGTTAACAAAAATTAAATTTTGCAAGTGACAAATTTTAAAATAAGACAAAATAAAATAAAATATCTTACAATATTCGTTTTTTCATTAATTTTTTGGCCTAAATCCTTCTGTGTTAAGCCTTTAGCTTGTCTAGCTTGTTGAATGGCTTTTCCAACTGACAAGCTAATTTTTGGTGGCGGTGCAACGTCGTTCTCCCGATCAAGCTTGGCAATCTTTTGATGATCAGTGCCAGAATGAGCTTTATTAGTTCCACCGGCGACTAAGCGAAAAAATAAGTCAGCTTTGCAATTCTTAAAAAATTCATTTGCTGCGGTTTTAGACACTTACCTTTACGTTCTATCCCAACAACGGCTCCTGCACGACGGGCTGCATTAATCGCGGCGTCACCTTTGGTGACTTTGGCGTGTTCGGCGCGTTTTCGAATGACAGTAACACTGTCCCATTCAGCTTCACCCGTACTCATTTTTTTTAAAAAAAGTTTAAACCAGGCTTATTGAGCTAGTTGTTATGTGATATGACTAAAGAATCTTATTTATAGGAGATTGCTACTGACACAGCAACACGTGACCTATTTTCTTATGAGAAATCCCGTAAAGTAAAAGTGATTTTGTCTCTAATTAAAATCGTGCTCTGATTCTAATGTCAAAATTTTCCTAGTAGATCGCGAGATATCTCTATTATTATTATAAACAATTTTACTAATTACAACTTTAATAGAAGTATAAAAACTTAAAATTTTGTATTTTTTTTTTGTTTTTTTTTTTTTGATATTAATTTTTATATATATTATAATTTCTTATATCAGTTATAAGACATTTTCTCTAGAATGTTGTTTATAATAAAAATTATAATAAAAACATATAAACTTTGAGCTAAATATTTTTTTTAATTTAACTAAGTAACTTAAAAAAAAAAAAAAATAGTTTAAAAACTAAATTAAAATTTTGCTAATTTTGTATAATTTGAAGATATTGTTATTCCTTAAATTGTAACACAGGCAAATTT